CTTGCCGAAGCTGGTCTCCCTGATCGCCGCCCTGCCGTTGAGGGCAGTGACGACGGCGGCCGTGGCGCTGCGCTGCTCCTCCAGAGCTTCGGGGGCGTCGGGGGGCGGAGCGAAGCGACAGCGACCTCCAGAGGCCCGACGATCCAATAGGAAGGCACCAACTATACACCAACACCGATCCTGGCCAGGATCACCCTGGGCCCAGGATCGGTGTATACGCCCTCCTGCCTTGGGCAAAAAGGCATATGCACCGATCCTGGGCCCAGGGTGATCCTGGGCCAGGATCGGTGCTGGTGTATAGTTGGTGCCCTCCGATCCGAGGATCGAGGCCTTCGCTCGTGGTTGCAGCTCCTCGGCCGCTTCTCGGCCTCGGGGGTGCTCTCCGGCAGCTGCGCGCCGCCGAGAGCGCGTCGGGGGCTGCCCGAGAAGCGTCGCGATATCCGGCGCCCGAGGCCCGAGCTGTGCGCACCGAACGGCAAAAAACCTGCAGGATCTCAGCAGGACGTCGCGCCCGACGCGTTTCCGCGCGGTCCTCCAGGTGCTTTCCCTCCTCCTCCTCCTCCTCCTCCTCCTCCTCCTCCTCCTCCTCCTCCTCCTCCTCCTCCCCCTCCTCCTCCTGCTCCCCCTCCCCCCCGTCGTTTTCCTGAATCTCAGCGCCTCTGTGTGGCAAGTTCTGGGCCCTGGCGGAGAGCTGTTCCTGGGAGAGCGGGTCCAGTCCTTCCGCGCCGTGGACAATACGGTCGGGCATGGTTGGACAGGACACCCAGGAAGACACACGACTTCCGACGGCAACGTGGCCCCAGAAAACCAGAAAGGATACGCGGGTTGCACAGGTCGGGGTAGACAGGACGCAGTGCCTCGATTTGGCATGGGCGACCTACCAATCAAGGCCGACGGCAAGACGAGACGGACAAACAAAAACAACGTCGGGGAACTGGCGAGGGTGGACGGTAACCTTGGGGGTGTCCTCGTGGGAACGACCTGGAAACCACTAAACTTTAGAGGTCCCCCACATGGGATCGGAATACATGGGGTCGGGGGGTCGCGCCGCATCGGCGATGCATCGGCGATGTCGGCGATGCAAGGGCGTTATGTTGCATCCTCGGGGGACCTTGACTGTCGCGTTGCGGCCCCATCCACGTCGAATCCGTGTCGAATCCATGTCGGGCTTGCCGGGTCCGTGTCGAATCCGTGTCGAATCCGCCTCGAATCCACGCAGATCCGCGTCGTGAGTCCGCATCGAGCCCGCGTCGGGCACAAGGAACGACACCAGTGTTGTGGACAGGCGAGGTCCCCCGAGGAGGCAGCGTGAAGGGGCAAACTGGGCGTCTCGTCGAGCCGCATCGCCCGAGCGTCGGCGCTGCGGGGCGAGCCTCCGACCGCCCCCCCCTGGGAGGCCTAGGTGTAGAGTTCGGTCGGGCACGTCCCTCTACAGGCGGATGTTGGGGCGAAACATGAAAAACAGCCAAAACAGATGCCACAATTGTCAACACATATGGGACATCGTCCCCAGGCTACTCTTCCCAACCAT